TTTTTGTATATTTTCTTTTTGGGGGAAGGTTTTTGCAAGAAAAATTTTGTCGCCTTAAGGGAGACCCCGCCGCTCTCTACGTTTTTCGAGTTATGGGGCCCCAGGTTTTATGTTCTTTAAAACTATAATAAAGTAAAGTTTGGCGGAGGACGGTGAGCGGGCCCCGAAATTTTTTTCGAGCCCGATGCTGTGCCGAAGAAAAGGACGAAGTGAGGCCCTGGGTAACGCCCGTTTAAAAAATTAAAGTTTTTTGAAAAAATTTAAAATGTAAAACTAAAATTTGATGTTGTTAAATTGAGGAGTAAATTTTTGGGAGCACAGGCGAGGATATTGCAGAAAAGGGCCCGGTAGTGTCAAGATTTTGAAAAATTTGGTTGTGGGGGAGGGTTTTGCTTAATATCCCCTCCGTTTGAGTAGCGCGCGCGCCGGAGGGGAAAACCCCCCTGGTTAGTAGGAAAACCGAGGCCCTTGAAGGATGAAACCCTACTATGACCCCTTGCAGTTGTCTCGTTGTATTCAGCGATCAAAATTTAATACGGTACCCCCCTTTAAAAATGTCCCATCGAGCGCCACACAATTTTTTTTTGTGCTGTCGCAGTCGACGAAAAAACGAGCTCGTTGCGCGCGGGAATGAGTGCAGGTAGGACATTTCTGGCCCAAAAAATTTTGGCGAGCAAATTTTCCCCCAAAATTTAATGAGGGGTGGCTTTCCCCGAGGCCCAAAAAAAAGGGGTTTGGGCGTCGGGGGCAAATTTAAGGGGGTGAAACCCCGTTTTAAAAAAATCCGAGGTCCGCGAACATCCCCCAGTGCGAGTGGCGTGTTTATTTTTTTTTTGGATTTACCCTACAATGCAAGGACATCGGTTCTTTTTAGAAACCAGGAGCTTTCGCGCCGTGCGGGCGCTCTTTTTCCCACAAGTCATTTGGGCGGTTCGCGCGCTACTGAAAGCGAGGGTCTTTTGTTAGAGAACAATCCCCCAAGGGAAAAATATTTATCAAAATTTGAAGTAGCGGCCCTTTTCCCGGCATGCGCTCGCGCTGGGGCTAAAAAATTTGCGTCGTCATAAATAACTAATTTTTTGGGTTTTACATTTGACCTTTATTTAAAAAAAATTTTTAAATTTTTAATCGGTGGCCCGATGTTACTGGGGAAACCTCAGGCTTCGCCTTACTTCGTAAACGGGGACGATGGGGAGCTCAAAGGGTGAGAGTGGGGCGGGCGTCTTTTCCCTGTGATGGTCGAAGTTTTTTTTGCTTGCTGGGATCCCCCAAAGGGACGCCACATGAAAATTGTGGGAAAACAAAAAACGCTTCCCCAAAGGAGATAATATGAAAAAAAATTTTTTTGGGGCACTTTCCATTAAATGACATTGTTATTTTTCGTGCGGAGGGTTTGGTGGGGGTTTGGGGTAAACGTTATATACATTATGGGTTTTAAAATGAGGGAAAGGTTTAAAGGTTTATCACTAGGACCTTTTCATCTGACCAAAATTATTGCAAATGCTATGTTGTATGTCAGTGAAAAATTTACCCGGGAGGGTCGGAAAAAGGAGGTCGGAGAGTGGGCCTTGTTGGGCCGGCGGACTCCGGCGGAGCCCGGAGTGGCGGACTCCCCCAAGGGCCGCGGATTAAGTCGGGCCCCCAAAAGGGTCCGGCGGAGTCCCCAAAGGGGCCTCCCCGGAGTCCGGGGCCCGGACCGGGTGTAGTGGCTTGCCCGCGGGGCCCTTCCGCCGAGCCGCCGTGGGGAGCCGGCGGACTTTAAAGCCCGTCGGGCCCGCCAAAAATGTACTGGGGTCCCTGAAAATACTTTTTGGGGAAAGCACCCCCGGAGCCCGGGGCCCTCCGGGACCCGCGGAGCCGGGGCTCCCCCGGGGCCCCAAATCCGGAGGATATGCAAAAGGTGTCGAAACGCAGCGGGAATTTTGCCCCGGCTTGAGCATTTGGGGGTTTCAATTTTTTCTCCCCAATTTAAAGTCCCTTATTTAAACTAAACGAGGTCCCCGTCCGGAAAAAATTCCTTAAAACCCCCGATTTCCCATTCAATAAAAAAAATACACTTTTAAATTCAGCAAAAAGGGTTTCGGGGGGTTTTTAAAGTTTTTTTATATTTTAAACTAATGTTGCTTTAAAAAAATCGGAAAGCGTCAAAAATTTAAAGTTACGGGTTTTGCACGCCCCAAAAACAATATTTTTTAAAACGATAAAAGAACATTGTCAGACCCTTTTAAAGGCCCCAAAGGGAATTTTGAGGTGTTTTTAGTTTAATTTTGATAGCCGAGTTTTATGTACCCAAGTTGGGCCCAAAAAAAGGGAAAGGGGGAATTCGGGAAAAGGACCAATGGGTTTTTTTTTTGGAAAAACTTGATTTCGGTACCCGTTGACCCCCCAAACCGGGGCCCAAGGAGTTTTTTGAGGGGGCGCCCCCAACCCCCCCAACCCTTCCCCCCGGGGGGCACCACCCCCCATTTTCCCTTTAAAATATGCCAAAAATTTTAACCCAAAATTTCCGACTTATTGCAAATTTAAAATTTCAAAAAAATTTAAAATAATCAATCTTTTTAAAAAAATTTTTCCTTTTAAAAACGGAATAACTCAAATGGGGTTTTTCCCACTTTTGGGAAAAGGCGTTTTTAAAATTTATTGGGAAAAAAATTTGGGGGCCCAATTTAAAAAAATTTGAAGGAAAAATTCAGAGAATAAGTTGGAAAGTCGCGCTTTGGCCCTTTTTTAAATTTTGCCCCCCAAGAAAACTAGTAAATAGATGGGAGGAAAGGGGGCGAAAAATGAAGAACGTTCGGCGAAAGGGCTTTTTGGGGCTCTTAACCCCACCTCGCCCCAAAAAATTTAAAAGTTTTGGTGATGCCCTAATAAAATTTAAATAAAAAAACCAATCTAGGATTACTAATGATTTTAAAATGTTAAGAAAAATGATAAAAAAAAAACCGCCCCCTTTACTGCTTACCCCTGCTTTTCGTTTAAAGTTGGGTCGTTGTAAAAACATTTTTTAAAAAAGGAAATTTTTCCCAAAAAATTAAAAAATTGGAGGGCCACCACTTTTTAAAAAGGTTTGTACTTAGTGTACTTGTTTGGGTCCCCTCAATCGTTCGAGGGCAAGCCCTTTAAACCCCCGTTTGTTGTTTTCCCAATTTCTTCAGTTGCGGGCTTTCCCAGCTCGTCGCTCCTTCTGATCTATATCAGGAATTTCACCCAGTTTATTTTTTGGGCCCTTTTTTAAAGGTTCAAAATTTTTCCGAATCCAGCAGACAGCTCACGGTCAATAGTACCCGTCATATAACAGGGTTTGCATTGTTGTTTTTTAAAAACAGCAAACAATGAGGTTCAAGTGTTTTTTTTGGGGCCCTTGGGCCTTTGGGGACTTGAAAGGTTTCTTTATTTTCCTTAGCCTCAAGTTTTTTTTACCATTAATTATGAAAACCCCCGGGGCCCACCCAAAAAAAAGGTATTTTGTTTTTGAGACCTTCCTCATGTTATCTAGTAAAAGTACAGTAGTCATAATTTTTATCTAACACACAGTGATTTTGTAAAAAGCGCACTCAAAGATGTAAATTTAACACTTGTGAAAAAAACCATTTTGAGCTTTTTTTTGTCAGCAGAAATTTATGAGCATTAAAAAATGGGGGGGGGCGAGGGCCCCCTAAAATGTCTCCTTGGCTCGTCCCAGAGTTATTTCCCAAATTTGACCGTTGTATCGACGAACTGACTTTTCCTTTAAAAGGGAATGCCTTATAGTAAAAGGGGCCAACCCATACTGTTTTTTGGCAGAGGGACAGAGGGATCAGCAAAATCTTAAACGGTTAATTTTGGGAAAAACAGTTGTTTTCCCGGTTTTCCCGGGGAAAAAATTTTTTTTCCCGTTGACAGATTTTCCCTCTGTGGGTGGCCGCAGATTTCCCCCAATTTTTGCAGCAACCCTAAGAGCATAATTCTCGTCATCTTTTCTACATCACTTCTGTTTTTTTGGGGGCCCAGGTATTGTTTCCTATTTTTTACGTCCCTGGGGCCCCTTCTATTTAATCTTATGATTTCCCGGCAAAAAGGGTTTTTCCCCTGAGACAGATGCTTTTTAACCAGTACCCCCCAAGATACTTATTTGTGGTTTCACAAACTAATGTCAACTCTCCATAAAAGTTTTTCCCCCATACATTGGTTAGCAGCGGAAAAAAATTTTTAAAAGAGGGTTGCAGTTTTCCCCAATTTTTGGGACGTTTCTCAATCGCCAGAGAGATCTTTACGTGTTGCGTTCATTTTTGAACTTCCATAAGTTTGATTTTAAATTGACCCCGAACCAGATAATTATCGGAGCCAATGTCTGCACCCCTACAGCTACAGTGCAGGCTCTTACTGAGTACAGAAGTGACTCCACTTGGTAGAGAAGCAGACATGGTCAATCTGATTTACTGTGCGATCATCTGGATACTTCCAACTCTCTTTATGAATATCACATAACTAATAAAACAAATTGAAACTAAACTTGTTATCAAAACGAACATCTATAAAAATCAAAATTTATCCGAAAAAAAGGAGAAGCTCAGCGACAAAAACTTTACCAATTTCTTCTTTTAAAAACAAACTTACAGACTGGACAGTGGACATAAATAAAATGTTTGGCTATCCGATTTTCTGTGCTTTAAAGTTATTGAAATTTTAAATAAAACATTGTTTCTCATCGTTATTTTCGAATACAAAAAATAAATATTTAAGGAGATAACTTTATACTTATTCCAGCTTGACAAAGTATTTGACTTGGTATGATAAATTGTTTCACTAATTTAACCCCATTGATGCCATATTTACAAAATAAAGAATAAACTCTATCATTTGTTATAATCAACTTCCATAAAATCTTATTTTAACACTAAGTTCAAATAGGAAAGAAATTTACTGCAACAAACTCCAATACTAAAATTCTCAGAACTCTAATAACTTAATAATAGAGGTCTTAGAGGATCACAATCCCCGGCCCCCCTCCCAAGGCTTATTTACTCATTCTCCTCGGAGAAGGCTACATCGCTGTAATCAATATCAGGTAAATCCTCCGCGTCTGTCTCGTGTCTGTTATCTTCTATCGTTATCTTACCGGGGGGAAACCCGTCCAGTTTTATTATTATGTACCTGAATTTGAAGGATTATAGAATAAGAGCTAAGATCCCAGCCCAGAGTTCACCGCACTTTAAAATATATCCAGGAAACAAAGAGCACTTAAAAAGTTAAACTTTAACTTTTTAAACGTTCGACAAAATCTCACGTCTAAACATTTAATTGCAATACTCCAACAATTACCATAGAATAATAAAATAATTGTAAACAATGTAATATTGCTTCATATTGTGCCTACCTAGTCTTCCATCCGTTTTTAGACTTCTTAAGATCGCAGGAAACCACTCCAGATCTCTTGGTTCCCTCTACGTGGAATATAACCCTCAGATAGTCAACATCTGCCACCTGAAAGAAGTAGAGTGTAATTAGAAGATGTAATTAGATGTAATTAGTGTAATTAGAAGATGAAGACGATTTACACATGTATTTTGACATATACAGGGTGTACCATAGAAAGTGTGACTTTTTTGAGAAATGACACAAAATATTATGAAGGAGCAGTTGCTAAAAACTCTTCATCACATTGTGTCACTACACTCACTAGGTGTCGAATTTATGCATTATACCAAATTTCAAGTATAGTAAGGGGAAAAGTGGCATTCCGTTGGATTCGAATGTTCACAAGGATTTCTCAACGGAATATGGTAGTTAGGACCCCTACGAACATAATTAGACTTGTTGCCAATTTTGTATCTCAACGGAAACACCACTTTTACCACTTTTTACCACCTTTGTACCACCTTTCTGGTTTGCCAAATATCTTTAGTTGTGAAACATCATAGAAGGCTGCAAATTAACCTAGAATGTTTATCTTATCAAGGAGTAAAACTTTTGTATCAAAAATTTTTACATCGGACAATCAGCTAATTGGATAATTACCAATTAGTTAATCACCAAAAAAAGTGAAAATTTTTTATTGGCTTAAAATGATTTAAATCGTTTGAAACACGGAGAAATGTAGTTTTTAGAAAAACTTCAAAAATTTTTCACTTAAAATTTTTCACTTAAAATTTTTTTTCGAGACTTGAAAAAAAAGTTTGAAAATTTGAAAATATTTTTTTCCGCCAAAAGTGATCGAATTGCATGTAACGTGGATAAAAATGCTTTGCAGAAAAACTTCGAAGATTTTTAGATTGGGGAATACTAAAATCATCAATATTTGAAGTTGGAGTTCAGTAAATCTCGACATATTTAGTAATTAGGAATAGCTTAGCGGAAGGGCTGGACCTGAAAAAGGTTAACCAAACAATATTAGAGTTTCATAACTAATTACAATACAGATTTATCAAATTCCACATAAAGAAACAGCACAAAAGGACCATTTAAGATCGAACCGATTTTACCTGCTGTACTATCATTTTATTGATTATTATGATCAAAACCTCTGTCAATCTTGCCAATCTATACGGGTATCTGAATGTACGGACCTCTTATTTACCTCTATAATGAGACCCAGTTGTGCAAGAAATGCGATTTCTCACAGGGGTTTCTTTAAACTGTGCACTTTTTGTCACTCTCGCAACTCGCAAGAGGCCTGGTATATAGGGGGGGGGGGGGGGGGGGGGGGGGGGGGGTATAGGGAAGCGAGTGTATATATACCTTCCATCATCCATTGTGGCTTTTTTGTATTGTGAATGCGCATGCCGCTTCGTTTGCTATGCCATATACCTCGAATAACCCCATATGTCATTGCCAGGGTCGGGATAGAGTGGAGATAGCATTGAAAAGTTGCTAGAAATAGCTAGATTTAGAGTAAACTGGTGGTAGCTGGGTGGTGCTAGCATGGATGTAGCAGAACGTGAGAACGTAGCTACACGGGGTTTCATTGGAGTTGGTTATTTTAATGGCCAAAGAGTGCCGGAACTAAAGTTACTTAAGATTGCAGTTTAGGGGCAGTGTAAACCACGGTGTAGTCAGGGACACAGAGCTACAGTGCAGGAGTACTGCAAAAGAACAGTGCAAGTGATACAGTCTGCAACAGTAAAACTCCGAAGAAGGAGATAAGATTGTGGCTGCAGAGGAGGAGAGTAGCTGGAACCTGATTGTGTTTGTGTTGAAAGAAGAGGAGGAAGAAGAGTTTCCTGCTCTGGTAACTGTATTTTTGGAAGAGGTGGGGCGAGAACTTATTTTCAAGCGACAAGGGTGGGCTGGAAGCAACCAGATACAGCTATCCGACCTATAAAGATCACCGTCCTGAGCTTAACAGCATTTCATCAGAATCTTATGAAAACAGAGAGACTGACCCACCCTTTTTAGATCCAACGAAACCCTTTATATAAATCGACTTTTCTGCATGAATTACTTCATGGTATCTTCTTATCAAGGCTACAGACCTTGCCGTACCGGATTTATTGATCAAAGTGAGTCTCTTTAGCCCTCTTCTTGTTTAGAGCTTTAGGTTAGTGATCAAACTCTTCGCTACTCGCTCTTCACTGGATCTATCAGGACAGATTCACATCTTTTTAGGTCTCAACCAGCCTTAGTTTTCCTGTTTTCATCATGTAGTACGTTCTGCTACTCCATTTTAGTACCACCCAGTTCCATCAGTTCACTCTAAGTCTAGCTTCGTCGGCGTTTTACTGTTGCAGACTGTATCACTTGCACTGTTCTATTGCAGTACTCCTGCACTGTAGCTCTGTGTCCCTGACTACACCGTGGTTTACACTGCCCCTAAACTGCAATCTTAAGTAACTTTAGTTCCGGCACTCTTTGGCCATTAAAATAACCAACTCCAATGAAAACCCCGTGTAGCTACGTTCTGCTACATCCATGCTAGCACCACCCAGCTACCACCAGTTTACTCTAAATCTAGCTATTTCGAGGTATATGGCATAGCAAACGAAGCGGCATGCGCATTCACAATACAAAAAAGCCACAATGGATGATGGAAGGTATATTTACACTCGCTTCCTATAATACCACTTACCAGGCCTCTTGCGAGTTGCGAGAGTGATAAAAAGTGCACAGTTTAAAGAAACCCCTGTGAGAAATCGCATTTCTTGCACAACTGGGTCTAATTATAGAGGTAAATAAGAGGTCCGGTACATTCAGATACCCGGTATAGATTGGCAAGATTGACAGAGGTTTTGATCATTGAAATCAATAAATGATAGTACAGCAGGTAAAATCGGTTCGATCTTAAATGGTCCTTTTGTGCTGTTTCTTTATGTGGGAATTTGATAAAGCTGTATTGTAATTAGTTACGAAACTCTAATATTTTGTGGTTAACCTTTTTCAGGTCCAGCCCTTTCCGCTAAGCTATTCCTAATTACTAAAATATGTCGAGATTTACTGAACTCCAACTTCAAATATTGATGATTTTAGTATTCCTCAATCTAAAAATCTTCGAAATTTTTCTGCAAGGCATTTTTATCCACGTTTCATGCAATTCGATCACTTTTGGCGGAAAAAAAATATTTTCAAATTTTCAAACTTTTTTTTTGAAGTCTCGAAAAAAAATTTTAAGTGAAAAATTTTTGAAGTTTTTCTAAAAACTACATTTCTCCGTGTTTCAAACGATTTCAATCATTTTGAGCCAATAAAAAATTTTCACTTTCTTTGGTGATTAACTAATTGGTAATTATCCAATTAGCTGATTGTCCAATGTAAAAATTTTTGATACAAAAGTTTTACTCCTTGATAAGATAAACATTCTAGGTTAATTTTCAGCCTTCTACGACGTTCACAACTAAAGATATTTGGCAAACCAGAAAAGTGGTACAAAGGTGGTAAAAAGTGGTAAAAGTGGTGTTTCTGTTGAGATACAAAATTGGCAACAAGTCTAATTATGTTCGTAGGGGTCCTAACTACCATATTCCGTTGAGAAATCCTTGTGAACATTCAAATCCAACGGAACCCTTAAATCGACCACTTTTCCCCTTACTAGTATGTTAGCCGTTGTATGTTTTTAATAAACCCTCTCCAAATTAGAAAATGATTTTAGAATAAAATAGAGCGGAGATCTGTTTGATGAATTGAACAGGGCATTATTTAGCGATGAAGGGAGCATTATCCCCCCCCCCCCCCCCCATTAGTTATTATACATACCATGTACGGCTGATGCTCGAGACGTTTCCTAGTTCTGCTATTTGGATCTCCGTACCCCTTTATCTTGTCTCCCAATATCAATGACGTTCTCTCGTCCTTCATTATCTTCTTCATTGCCATCTGTATATACCATGTTAAAGGTAGTCTACGATTATAAATAAATAAATAAATTCTAACATTTATTACACGCTTCGACATTAAAATATACCCAACAAAGATGTACATTTAAGTCATTCAAGCGAGACTTAGTGTTGAAAAACCAAGATTATGGACTTTTTTATCAGTTCAGATTTTATGAACAATGCTTCTGATACAATATAATGTTATAATAATTTCTAGCTAAATTAAACATTCTCATTATTTAAATAATAATACATATAACCATTATATTAAACATGTAATGTAGACCGTAATAACAATAATACAGTGTTGTTATCCTGTACCTTGAATACAGATGAAGGTGACACGTTAGAGAAGAATTCAGACAGGACCATGTAAGCAAGATAAAGCACTATACCGCAACCTCCTATAATCACAAACAAGTTCACTGAAGTCTTAGCGTTTTCTACCTGCAGATTAACGCCGGGTAACGCCGGGTAACACCTAGTAACACCTAGTAAACTCTGTTACCTCTGGTAACACCTATAAAATACCGGGTAACACCAGGTAATTTGGTGTGAAAAGTTTTGAAATAATACAACAGAACTGATAGAGGTTCTGACCTTATTGTTCTTTATTAATAAATAATTTAATTCTACCTTTTTGAATTAATATTTTGAAACACCTACCACTTTCTGGGTGACAGTAACTGCCTTAGTATCTTCCTTGTTCAGGCGCTCAAACACTGAAACACTGTGATCTGATGAACTCTGCTTCTTCTCTGCTATTTTTCTATCACCCTAAATGAGTCACACGGTATAGTAGTAGTAGTAGATCTTTCAGATTCTACCTTGCCGAAGGCAAAAAATATCGTAGGGAATTATTAGTCGGGTTCTGATATATTAGGTGGCCAAACGTTGCTACGATCAACGATGCAATGTCGATATTAAACTACTTCTTCGTTACAATGTATGTATCAAATAAAAGTGCAATGGTCATATGTTTCTCTCTGGAAGGACATAGCTCTTTTTGGAAAAGTGGCAGTAAATCGGGGTTTTAAAAATAAAATAAATAAATAAATAAAGTCAATTTTTACAGCACAGCAATATATATCTAAATATCATTTCCTCTGTAATCATAATGTATAAAAAAAGGAGCTTTTCTCTGTGCTGAAGGATGAATCAAGGCAGATCATGGTTCTGTTAGCAGGCCACCCTAGTTATGGACAATACATATAATATATAAAATAATTAAATTATAATTTTAAAATTGTGTCAAGATTGAACTAAAACATAACTCAGGGTAAAATAGACGTATTCCCTTCGTCAAATTAACTATTTACAATACTAAACTTAAACGAACTCCGGGTAAAATAAACGTAATCCCTTTGTCAAACTTGCTATTTACACTAAGTTAATAAATTAATACGGTTGAAAATTATTTCATATTCTCTAACAATGTAGCATCAATATAATTGATACAAATGAGGAGCATACATAGCAGTGAGAATTGCACATAACAGGAGGACTGGAGGTATGGAGCAATAATGATTGACAGTGCACCTTTCCACTGATGTTCCTAATTTCCTGTAATAGCTTAATAGGCATGGAAATACTTTGATTGCAGGGGATGGATTGGATTCACTTATGTACTGAGATAACTTAACTGAAATAACATAACTGCCTAGATACATTGGCTAGTGTTGGGTGGGATCATGAATTTATCGTAAGAGTTATCCCCTTGGTAATTCTCATCAGTTAGCACCATATTCATAAGAGTTTCTTTGTATAACTTAGAAAATTTCTTAACGTCGTCACACTCTCTAAGGGACTTTGGTAATATGTTCCAGGCCTTAGTTCCTAGATAGTTAAACTCCTTGTGAGATCTTGATTTAGGAGTATAAAGATTGCAGTTTTCTGCCTCACGTGATCCACCAGAAATATACGAGAATTTCCCGATAAAATGCTTTGGACATGTTTCATTGATTATACGGTACATATATGAGCTAAGATGAACCTGTCGTCTCAAATGGAGAGGAAGCCATCCCATATTTTTGTATACATTAACCGACCTCTCTCTGATGTTTACATCTAGGGCTATTTTAGCAACCTTTTTGTACATGATATCTAACTCTCCTAGTCGTTTTTTATATGTTCTTGACCAGATGGTGTCTAAGTAGTCAAAATGTGGCAACATAAGTGCATTAGCAAACATCTTCCTGAACTTAAGAGGGAGAAGTTTTTTTGATCTATACATAGCACCAATTCTTTTGGATATCTTTTTCTTAATGTTATCAATATGTTCATTAAATGTCAATCTGCTGTCAACTATAAGTCCAAGGTACTTATGGGATTTAGTTTCACAGATTACCAAAGTAAGGTCATCACAAATTTCAACAAGGATGGCATCAAGGTTAGGCTTAGAGTCAAGGATCATTAGTTTTGTTTTTTCATTATTCAGGGATAGTTTATTAGCCTGGAGCCATCTGATAACTAATTTCAACTCTTGTTTTGATTGTTTTGATTGTTTTGATTGTTAACTTATATTTTATATTAAACCCCTATTTGGGGAAATGAAATGTATGCGGGAAATTGGGGTTTGTGGTAAATCAGGGTTTAATTGTAATAATTGTTAGTAATTTAGATTTGAAGATTACCTGCTGTGAGGAATTGTATCTGACACAAGAGGTGTGAAGCAGAAGTCGGGAATTCCGCTCTATTTGGAGATGAACTTGACTCGCAAGGTGTCTCACGCAGCGTTGGTGGACTATGAAAACCATCCTAAAATACTGCAGTTAATAATATGCTAGTAACACCTAGTAACACCTAGTAACACCTAGTAACCATCTTAAAATACTGCAGTTAATAATATGCTGTTTATATTCATTTTTCCAGAGAGTAAATATTAGTTAACTTGTAATTTTGTCTAATCTTAGATAATATTGCAGTTTGTAGTAATTTCAATCACATTTTTACTTGCAATGTGCTGTTAGTTTTAACACAAGATACTCATTTCTCAAGAAGAACTTGTTTTTAAATAGATAATAATAATCAAGTTGACAAATAAGAACATAAAAATAAAATACAAGATATCGAGCAAAATAAAAAGGTCATTTTCTGAAGAATGTTTTCTTGGTGGAATTATCAAGTAGAGATAATGTTCATATCTGAAATTCTTCGCTCAAGCGTGGCCTGACAAAACCAAGTCTATTGTCCAACTATAACTAGTTAGTTGTTACCACCTAGTTACCACAATTGCGCTTAGTTACAAGATGTACTCCTCTAGTAGTTACATGTCACTATATAATGAAGTGTACTTCTCAAGCCATGATCTCCTGGCTAGTAGTTACATGTCACTATATAATGAAGTGTACTTCTCAAGCCATGATCTCCTGGCTTGCTCCTTCCTCTTCTACACCTCTCACGTACAACACGTTGTTACACCTGGTACAGTTATTCTTAATAATAGGGCATTATATTGCATAATTACAATGTGACAGGGGTGTAGGAAGCGGGGGGGCAGGGGGGGCCATCGCCCCCCCCCCCATGAAATCTGGGCAAGGGGCCAAAAAGGGCCAACTTTTTAATTTAGGTTTCTAAAAATTTTTGGAAAAACAATTTTCCCGAAAATTTTCCAAGTCAAAAGATGTTTAACTCAAAAAGTTTCTAAGTCAAAAATTTTCTAAGTTTTCTTGGAAACTACTTTTGTTCATGTTTCATGCTACCCTGATCATTATGAGTCAAACATATTTTTTTCGGTTTTCGAAGTTCGATATACGAATTTGGACTCGATGGTTCCCCTTTGTAATGCGATCTCGGAAGGCAGGCCTCCCCTTCGCAATGCGAGCTCATAAGCGGGAGCTCTGCTTTCAGAGGTACGTATCGAGAATGACTCGGACCGAAAATTTTGTAAGTCAAAAATTTTCAAAGTTTTCTTGGAAACTACTTTTGTTCATGTTTCATCCTACCCTGATCATTATGAGCCAACAATATTTTTTTCGGTTTTCGAGGTTCGATATACGAATTTGGGCAGTATCGAGATAGCCCGACCACTGGTCCGCGGACCACTGTCTGCGGACCACTGTCCGCGGACCACTGTCTACCAGATCATATTACTGTATAATAACAGTATCCCAATCAGCGGTGGTGTCAAGGCTTTTTAAACGATTAAGCAACCTTACGAGATCAGTTCACATCATGCAATATATAAAGAATAACTATTATCAGACTGCATCAATCATTTCTATCATCAACTCCTTCTTGAACAACTACAACTATGGTCTCAGAGAATGGCAACTGATAATACTTCACCAAAAACGAACGACTTATATACCACATTTTAATCGTAATCATTTATTTCATTGAGCAATCAATATTATTCGTAACTAATTATATCCGAGAGACCACATTTGAATCGTAATCAATAGTTTGATCCAGTAATTTACTACGCTACAATTAATTATGCTAGTCGTAACTAATTGCATCCAAGATACCATACATACCATTCATATGATTCAGGGGATACTGTTATTATACAGTAATATGATCTGGTAGACAGTGGTCCGCAGACAGTGGTCCGCGGACAGTGGTCCGCGGACCAGTGGTCGGGCTATCTCGATACTGCCCGAATTTGGACTCGAGGGTTCCCCTTTGTAATGGGATCTCGGAAGGCTGGCCTCCCCTTCGCAATACGAGATCGGAAGCGGGAGCTCTGCTTTCAGAGGTACGTTTCGAGAATGACTCGGACCGAAAATTTTCGAAGTCAAAAATTTTCAAAGTTTTCTTGGAAACTACTTTTGTTGCTATACTGCCCTGATCATTCTGAGCCGAAAATATTTTTTTCGGTTTTTTTGAAGTACCTACATATGGAAGGTTGTGGAAGTGACACTGATTGGTTTCATATACTGATTATAGAAAACGTGATATTTGGTCCTCAGATTTAAAGGAAAATGCGCAATATGACGTGGAGAACTGAAAAAAAATCGCGATTTGTCGTGAGGCCCCCGAAATTAAGGCTTTGGTGCGAAGCGCCAAAAAATTTATGCTGTGGCGCGAAGCGCCAAAAAATATTTAGAATTTGGCCCCCCCATGAAGAAAATCATTCCTACACCCCTGCAATGTGACAAAAGGAAAGTGTTCTCAAATGCACTATAATTCTGCATGTTATGCCTATTTTAGTTCAACGTCAAAAGTCTTCCTGTTTTAGGTATTTGCAAGCAATGAAGTAAGCAGTAGAGTAATGTGAAGTAGTTTACCTAATGAGGACTTCCCCTAGGTTGCCAGCCAGTACCCCGTCAATGTACTCCTCTGTGTTTGCCAAGTTAAGGTTCATGTAACTATCAACTGATATCAAGTAACCCTGTGGAGAGGACTATCAACACCTGGTAACATCTAGTAACACCTAGTAACAACAAGTAACACTTAGTAACAACAAGTAACACCTAGTAACAACAAGTAACACCTAGTACCACCTAGTAACACCTAGTAACAACAAGTAACACCTAGTACCACCTAGTAACACCTAGTAACAACAAGTAACACCTAGTACCACCTAGTGGCAACAAGTAACACCTAGTATTTAAGTAACACCTAGTAACAACAAGTAACACCTAGTAATACCTAGTAACAACAAGTAACACCTAGTAAAACCAAGTAAAAACTACTCTCTAGAAAGTTCAGACGTTGATCACGGTAAAAAGTTCAATTCCGGCTGCAACTGGGGCCCGGGACCGGAATCACAGTCGTTCTCTGATCCTGTTAAATAGATAATACTGAAAAATTAGATTTAAAACGATAGTACTTACTTTGTATTCCATACCCCATTTCAATTTGACCATAACTGGCTTACCAGTCAGACCACTCAAAAAAGGCTTTGGGTTTAAAGGAAGTGCACTGGACATTGAGCTACCTGAAATGGTCGTGTTACTTTTTATTGCTTACTTTTTTTCTTTTTTTATTATTTGAAAATTCAATTAATTATCATATATATATATGATAATTAATTGAATTTTCAAATAATAAAAAAATATAAATCAAGCGTTACATTTCAGCCATGCAAAATTACAATGACATATTTTGATATAAGGGGTCGTTCACATATTACGTAATCATTTTTTGGAACATTTTTACCCCCCTCCCCCCTCCGTAATCAGTTTTACACATATGACATAGCTATTGTGTCAAAATTACACTAGCGTAATCATTCGGAAACCCCCCCCCCTCAGCTGATTACGTAATATGTGAACGACCCCTAATACTAAATGATAAATGGTACTGCAATATAAGTTGCTTAATGTTTGGCCGGATGACAACTAACTAAAAGAGAAAAATAAACTTGATTACATTTTTACATAATAATTAATTCGGCTGAACCAACACATAGCAAGAGCCACATTAACGTTTGGGGCAGTCTACCAAATTTGAATGACATACAATAACAAGAAATCAAACATATCATAAATAATTATATGGATTTTGTTCATTACAATTCCGTCACAACTGATAGAAGAAAAAAGAAGAACCGTGATAGATACTCCCCTGTCCCTGTTACTTGTTAGCCCAGAGGGGGGGGGGGGGGGGGGTCAAAAACATTTTCTCAGTTTTAACACATTTGATCAGAGCTGCTGGAGATGAACAAGAAGAAAAATCTGGAATATGAGGTTAACACTTGACTTTCTTTGAAAAATCGAATTTGGGGTAAAGTTAACCTCCTATTTCAAGAACAACGGCAAAAATCAAAATTCTAAACATGACATTTTTGTGTGACACCCCAAAAAATACATGGGCCAAGTTTCAGCTCCTGGTTGTGGCCAGTCTTTTCCCAACAAGGAGGTTTAATACCTTTTTTCAGTTTAAGTTACATCTTACGTGTAATTACAGGTAAACCTTAAAGATCTATAAACTGCTTCTTTGCCACATGAGGATGCAACTAAAGATATTCAGTATGTCTCTCTCCATTATTGACACAATTGATTCCCTAGATTCTTCCTATTACTTCATTTGAAACATTCCAAAAAATGTTAAACATATTTCGAATGATCATCAATAGCATATCAATCTATACTGTACTTTAAACTGTACAATAGGTAGGAATCTAGGATCTGTAGTGAGCTGCTTTAACTCACTAGATATCTTGTCATTCACCAAATGGGCATTATATTTATTCTGTATAATGTGTTAAAAAACTACCGCCGAAGCGGTGGGTAGTCATGATACAACAAGATACAAGGCCAAGGGGAGGTCTATCCCGAACGTTGGGATGGATTGAGGTGCTAATCTCCTTTTCAGTAATCCTAAGCCACTCTGTGCCGAGGCATTATACTAGCTTTAGGAGGATTAGCCCTACGAGCCAGAGATCGAGTGTGTATCACCAGTGCAGCCGAAGCTGTACCAAATCACAGCTTGATAACTGGCCAACTTGCATCCGACCGGATTTGAACCCGGGTCTTCTGCTTGGAAGGCGATCGTGTTTTTTATTTCAAAATTCAAATAAACTTTTCATCAATGTATTACAGTTATATTCAATAAAAAAAGACCACAATATCTCCTGTGAGGCAAAAACATGGAAAAAGAGAGCTAGAAAAATATTCATGAGACTCAACACTACCAGACTACAGCTGGAGTGAGAAACATTATGTAAACATCAAAGCAAAATTTATTTCGGCTGAACCAAAACACGGTGGTAAAACCATAATTACATTGGTGCCGACCCTACATAAAATCATTAATAAATAATCAATAGAACAAATATAAATGTATACTATACCTTCTTGCTACTACTCCA